TATTTTTAATAAGCCTTTATCTTTTTATTTTGAATTTAGGCTTTAGTAATTTTGTTATGTGCATGATTTTGCTGGGTTTAGTACTTATTTATTTCAGTTATCTGATATTTACCTTTAGTTTTATATTACTTCAGTTAACAAAAACAATTTTAATAGTCTTAGTTACCAACAACCATGTGTTTTGGCTGAAATATTCCTTTAAATTTTACTTGTCAGGAGAAGTAAAACTGAAAAAATTAATAAATGAATAAACAGCTGACATAGATAAAGAGTATCTTGTTAATCTTGTGTCTGATCTCTATTTTTAAAACACTTGGCTTTACTAGAAAAGTAATTCATAAGCTAAAGGATTTATTTTTGGACTTCCGAAATGTCAAATTTCCTTGTGTCCGTGTTTTTTGTTGTTGTTTTTTTTTTAAAGGAAAAATTGCCTCTATTATAATCTCTCAGAGAGAAACAGAAGAGTCAAAAACAGGGTACTTCCAAAATACTGCAAGATAATGTAACCTCAAGAGTCCAGATTAACTGAGAAACAAACGGTAACATCTGTATGAGTTTTCAACTAAACAATGCTGATGTCAATATACTTAAAATGATTTTATAATAACACCAATGACTACATCTTGGAGTGCCGTCATTGAATATTAAGGGCTTCACACAAGCGTAGTGACTTTGAATAAAGGCCAAAGGGTTGCATATGGTGCCTTGTTTGCATTCATTTCTCCCCTTTTTTAACATTCATATTCATTAGGGGGCAATCGGTTAGTCAAGACCTTTCCCATGGAGAACTAAAATATGGTAGGCTCTTCTAAGCAAAAGATGTCTGAATTAGTCTTCGGAGAACACAAAAGGCCTGATGCCCTGTACATCTGAACGTCTTTCTGCCTCAATAATCGTCTATACGCCTCAGAAACTTCAACGCACATACTGTAGATGTTATTTCTTTATGTGGAAACATACAACACTTTCCATTTAATCATCTGTATAAACAGTATTTCAATGAAAATACTGCAAATGTTTAAGTCAAAACATGCATAATATTAATGCAAGTGCTGTCTTTTCTTCTCTCTGCTGCAAAGCATTTCTCCTTTTAATTGGCACAATGACCAGCAGTAAACAGTTATGAAATGGAGTGTGTTATGAAAATTTAAATGCATATGCATACTGAAGGAGCAGGTAACTAGATTTTTTCGTTTGCATTTCAGCGCCTTTCAAGGTTGACTGGTGAAAATAAATGAATAACAGTAAATAAAATCAAGCAAAATAAAATGTAAAAATAAATAATGTGATCGTAATTCTTTCACAGGGACGAGGTGCAAACGGCGGCTAATGGCCACAGACAGACAGATAAAGAGGCTACAGAATTGATTTCATGTCTGGATTCCGCTTGCATTTTAACCTTGTAACCTGACAGAAAACAAATAAAGGCACTGGCATTTTATCTCCTCGGATACTGCATTGAGTTCACTCACGCCGGTCAATGTTGTGTCGGTAAGAGTTCGCTCAATTTCAATAATCTTTTCAAAACCGTGCCAACACTGATGTGATGGTGGGGTCAGCTAAGAGTATGAAGGGAGGGCTAATAATAAAGACAAATGTTGTATTCAAAAAAATATCTCAATGCAAATTCTTCAAAAAGCAGGTTTTTGCCTGTTTGAAAGGCATGAACACAAAAAGGTCAGGGATCTTTTGAAATATCTGTGAAGAGATGACTTCAGAATCAAACTCTGAATGCGCGTACAAAATTTTCTATATATTGAAATCATTATGTTCACAACTTTTAATAATTACTTCAATGAGCTCATTGATTCTTCCTTAACTTTTACCAGCCATTGATGAAAATTTCTGTAATTTGTAAGAAAATGCTTCCCCGCCATTGATGGGATTTCTATGTTTTCACTGTTATACGGTAGGGGGCACTGTTACGCATCTTCAGAAAGAGTAATGAATTTCCAGATCAAAAGACATGTGAAAAAGAAGCAGAAACAAGCGATAGCATACAGTATATGCGATCTATAAAATAACGCGAGCCTCAACGTGAAATAGCATTTAGTGAAAACTGTCTAATGTTATGGAGCTTTTCCACTACACAGTACCAGCTCGACTCGGCTCGCCTTTGTTTGTTTTTCCACTGTGTAAAAGTTGTAAAAGTTTTTTTGTACCATCTCCGGCGAGGTTCTGAGCGAGCTGAGGCGAGGTAAGGCGATACTAAAATGTCACATGAAAACAATGCCGACTGCTGATTGGTCAGAGAGAATCGTCACCATTCACTGCTTCATCATTACACGCGCCAGATGGAGTATCCAAAATAAACCCGCTATTTTTAAATAGTTTGGCCAGAGATAGTTACTAAACTAACAACTATTATTATGGCAACTCGGAAGAATACGCTGTGGTCAAATGAGGAGGTGCAGACTTTCCTTTGTTTGGTGGCCGAAGTGAGGATCCTGCGAGAGATTGATAGGGCAACGAGGAACGAAAGGCGTCGCTATGACGACCGGGTACTATTTGTGGCGGTACTGTCTGCAATGGAAAACGGAACGAAAAGCGAGCTGATTTGAGCCGAGCCGAGGCGAGTCAATCTGGTACTGGTAATGGAAAAGCGCCCTTACTGAATGAAAAGTCGACCCAGGACGAGCTATAGGTATTGTTCAACCACGCAAAGTATTGTTCAACCACGTTGGTTTCGCACGTGGTGCAATAATAACTACTTTTAATGAAACTGTTTGAGATCCAATTAACGCTAGATTTTTAACTATAATTTACAAAAATGTCATCTGAGGACTATTTCTAAACGTTATTACCAGACTCAATATTTTGCTCGTTCTTACATAGTAGAGCACGTTCGCACATGCGCACTCCTCAAACACGTTACTTAAAATCTTTTGACAAACTAAAAGACGAAAATTACATTTGTATGTATTCTAAATAAAAGGTACTGGTTGTACTGAATGTCAGCTTGCTTATTTTGCTCAAGATAAAGATTTATTACCTCCAAATGTCATGCAATATAGAAACGATGCTTCTAACCACAGGTCGAGAGCTGTCGTTCAAACCACACAACTTTGCGATGCTGTTTGCGAATGTTCGTTGGAAGGATTGTTTCGGGAAACACAGACTCGTTGAACTATGCTGATAACAACGGAACTTGCGACCATAGCTGGCTAACAATGCTTTCGGGAAACGCACCCCTGGATGTGCTCTTCGACAAAAACGTGTTTTTCGCAGCTTTTTGCTCAAAATGTGCTTTTTAAAATTAAACTTAGCTACATTCAAGATGATAAAAAAGAATAGATGAAGCTGGGGGGTGTAAATACGCTATACAAATAAATGTCAATTGAATTGAATTGAAAAATGTAAAGTTTTGTGTTTTTTACCTCTGTACAACATGTGAAAAAAAAAGTGTAAAAAGACTTTTTTGTTGTTGTTGTAGAAACGAGCAGGTTGTTGCCTTCTATTAACCTGACTAAAATAATCATCCTGGTCAAAGGACTTTATACCTCTACTTTTTGATTATTAGGACATTGAGAGCGCGTACAAATTCCTCTGTTGAATGCGAACTACTATCCTCTCTTGTTTAAGCCAATTAGTGGGTAGCAGAGGCCAGCAACTTGAGAACACAAAGGTGGTGAAAAAATCAATCCAAGTTAAACCTTAAGTTCAGATATAAACAGCTGGATAAGTTAAGATCAATAGAGTTGGATCCTGGAGCAACTGGTCAATATTTCATCACTTAAACCGTACAAGCAGCACAAGGCAAAGATGAGACGTCGCTAGTGGGTGCGGATGAGTCTAGCATGGCTAGGAGATGTTAATGACTGCAGTACAGCGACCCCAAACCGATAAAGTGATAACAGCCAAGCATTGATTCAATAGCCGTGGAAGGTAATGAAAAACTTCTACTTTGTCCGTATTGATTTTCCTCGCTTTTGTTTGATTCCTTCCGGAGGCTAATTCACTTGTTGCCAAGTCTTAACACAGACATCACCAGTCAGTCTGGAATGAAATAGCAATACCACGGCTGCGCTTTCACAAGACAAGACATTTATTACTGTTTTCCTCCACTTTTTTTGTCACTCTCTCACACTTTTCATTTTCTCGATTTTCTCCTCTCATTTAATCTCCTGCTATCCACTGTCTTTTTTCCTCTTGCGCATGACAGATATCCCTTCACATTCACAGGAATCTCAAAATGACTCAGTATGTGCTTATCCAAGATGGTTGCATTAATTATTTACGTGAATGCAGTTACGCACGCTGTTCCAGAACTGCGCATGGGAGATTATTTACTGGAACTTGTCGGGCTTTTCAGCCAAAGCTTCCGCATGAGCTGTGTCATCATACAAACTAAAGCACAACTTTCCATAAACAGTTCACAAAACGTTCAAATAAACAGAACTCTTGGGAGTCCTGATCAGGGTCGTCATAGTTTTACAATTTAATCTAGTTTTATTTAGTTAGTGACATATATTTGGTATGTAGTTTTTATTCTACTTTTTATTTTATTTTTTATTTGCAGAAAACAGTTGAAATAAACAAATTAAAAGACTCCAGTAACGCACACAGCAAAACAAGCTGTTAGCAATGCCAAGGTCATGGGTTCAAAACCCAAAGAAATGGACTACATACTGTATACCTTGAATGTAATTTGAGTTGCTTCGGATAAAATAATCAGTAAATTATTATTATTATCATTTTCTATTCAGGCTCTATACATTTGGCTTGGATTTATAAATAATATAAAATGTAACATAAAATACTACCATGCACACACACACACACACACAAAAAAAAAATTCTTCACATTAATAATTCTCACTCATAATTTTTTTAATTAATAATAATTTTACCAAAATAATAATATTTCACTGAAAAGTATATTTAATTCCGTATTAAATATACGTTTTCTGTAAAATTCCAACATTTTACTTCTAAAAACATTATTTTTTTAAACAATTATCAGATTAACATTATTATTTATATGTATGTATTTATTACAGTATAAGTACTAGTATTTTAGGGTTTAGTTAACAAATCACCTGATATAATGTGTCAGGAAAAATTTAATGCTTTTAATCATGATAGTCAACCGTTATTGCCATCTTGTCTCATTTTCACATTAGTTTTTACAGCAATGAAAATGTATTTTATTTCATTTCCAGTCTTTCCTATAGATTTCCAGATTACTTTTTGTTTTAGTTTCATTACCGCTAATAACACTGGGCCTGTTGTGTCCGCCTCATCCCCTGAAGCAGCTTGACCACCAGCTATTCTCTTATTCACTCGTTCTACCAGCGCCTCGATTCATAGCAGCCATGCCTTTGGAGCTCAGTAATTATTATCTGGCACTGACAGTGACAGTGTACGAAATTCTTGGAGTATGTCAGAAAAATTCTCTTGTCCGTGTTCCACTGTCTTTGTCATCTCTCCGCAGCGCCATTCTTTAATAAGAACACTCTTTTGTCTGCGTACAGTGGGGTGAGATCATCTGAGCGGCTGCCCATTGGAGTGAGTGAGGGGCTTTTGAACGGCATGTGGTGGATAGATCAGGGAGGCAATTACATTTTCAACAGTTCATTGTGTCTCTGGGAGGAGGAGAACAGGAATAGAACAGCTTCCCTTGCACTTCAGAAGGACGGCTTGGTGAACAGCAGGGCAACGTGAGCCTGGCATCACAGCAGTATTAGGGTCACCGGCACACCTTGACCTTGTGACCTCTTGCAAAGGAAGTCCTCACAAACCACATCTGACATACATAATATTTAAACATAAAAGATGTTAAAAACACTGTACTAGGTATCAGCACGGATGTAGGATCGTGATTTCGGGAGGTGTGTGGCTGCGCAGTTTGACCCAGCTGTTTTCTAACGGGGCGTTTTCCACGTGGATGAGTAACCGAAGGGCCGTTTTCCAGACAATAACATGTGGAGAGCATTAGGCGCACTGTCTCTGAGGTCTGCGTCGTTCTGCCGGCCCTCACCTACTGCACAACCAAACCTGCCAGACAGTACCCGCACCACCAGGATAGTTTTCACAGCTGGGTCAAATTGACTGGAAAAGAGAGGAGGAAAAAGAAAGGGGACTACAGTAAATGGAGGAAAGGAGTGAGGTGGAACATAGAGAAACAAAGAACAGATTACAGAACAGATGATGTACCCTAAACACACAGCACACAATTGATCTTTCTGCCTAGTTTCAATTAAGTAGCCTATAGGTTGTTTTATTGTGGTTAATTGTAAAATATATAATGCAATAAAAATTTAATAAGTAAACAACAATAATATCTTCCTTTGACAGGCTGACTCAACACCATCAAGGCAACACATATGGCCCTATAAATATGCACAAAAGATACAAATAGTGTGATGGTTCAAGCAAGAATTTCCGGGAATGTCCAATCAACTTCATATTACAGTAAAATTACATGTGCTACACTTAATTAGTTGTTTTTACTGTATAAACACTATGCACTGATACAATTTAAATAGGTTTAAAGGCATACATTCTTTTTAAACTGCCTGTTGTCGCTATTCCATGTCATTTTCATATTTAAATGGTTAGTTTTTGTAATTGACATTTCTGTCATTAATTACACACCCATTTTTTTATGAAATCTAATAAGTTTCTGATCCCCTATGGACTGCAACATTATTGCCACTTTCAAATCGCAAAAAGGTTGTGAAGACATTGTTAAAATAGTCCATGTGACTACAGTGGTTCAACCATGTTAAGAAGTGAGGAGAAAATATAGCAACTTTATTCAACAATTCCTTCTCTTCTATGTCAGTTAGTTATAGTATATGCTTTTAAAGTCATAATTTTAAAAAGAAAATGAAAAAAAAAGAGCTGCAGTATTTAGTCTCTTGATATATCTTGAATTTATGTTGAAATGTAACAGTACACTTTGTGTTAAGGGTGTGTTCAGATCCCTAATCTTGAGTATGATAAACAGTAACAGTGATCTTTGCTTCGGCAAGCAATGCTATAATAATCACATATGAAGAGTAGAAACACACGAGGTAAAATCACTGTGCATTCGATTTCTAATTAATTGACAGTGGAAAAAAGCACCAACTGAGAACATTTCAAATGTAGCTGGTGCAATTCTTCCACTTTGTAAAGCATTTTTAAAAGAGCTGAGCATGTAAATTTTTGCATCCGTCAGACCCAAATTGGCATTTAAATGTCCCTCTTGTTTTATTCCCCCGGGAAACAGGCTTACAGAGGGACTGGAACGGACTGGAATCATCTAGCCTCCACTCTGCATGGAAGGTCCTCTTTGTCACCCAAACTCCCCTCCAATGTCACTAAACAATTAATACACTCATACATTTTTAACTCTAAACTCAATTAGAAGAGGAATGGTAAAATATGGCAGAGGCAGAAGCGTTAGTTGCGGTGGCAGGGATGACATTTGCACTAATGAAGCTGGGTCGAAGCACGAGCCACATCAATCATCAACACATAAGAAGGGGTACGAGGCAGAGCCGTAGGGGTAATCAGAGTGGAGGTAGCTATGCGGGAAGGACACGCCAAACATGCTAACATCTTGTTCTGTTTGGACTGAGTACTGTGGTAAATGTAGAAACAGAGGTCTTTCAGAGGTCATGACCTGCCACTGACTCCAGCTCCATGGACAACACGGCCTTAAAGGGACAGCTCACCTAAACAACATGGAAGTGTTGTCATTAATTACTCACCCGTATGCCCTTTTTTCCAAGATTATGATGCTGTACTATAGATTTGCATGATGAACAAAATGAGACTGAAGTCTATTCACCTCAAGTGTGTTTGTAAAAAAGTTATGATTTGCCAACATGACATCATGACTTTCGTGTAAACATACACAGCACTTTCAAGTCAAGTGGCGTGTTATCTAGACGCATTTTGAGCTATCCGCGTGTATCCGCATGCATGCGTGTATGTCTAACGAAACGAAGCAAAATGTAGATCTACATCTGGGGAGCGATATTTTTTTTCCTAGGATGGTAGGGGAAGACTCATAAATGCTATTAACCCCAGTGATGGATAGGTTTAGGGACGGGGTTGAGGTAGGTCATATATTTATATGTACAATAATAACGTTAAGTCAACGGCGTTCATAAACACGCTGAAAAGCGATTATTCGTGTTGATGGCATGGCAAAAATGGAAATACGAATTGGCGTGTCATACACACGCAATTTCATGAGATCAGTCTGGAGTTGCCTTGCGAGTTGGTTAAATATACTATATATCCAAATCTGGATATTCAACATACCCACACGGCAATTCGTAACTTTTTACGTTTTGGCACGTCAGTGACTAATTCATTAAAAACGTATTCATACATTTTCGTATGATCTACTCACAACCCACAGATTTTAGGACCTTCATGCTTGCTTTTTTTCTTCTAAAAATCTTAAATTTCCATTCAAATCACATAGTTCGAATTCATACAGTATTGCCAAATGACATAGTTATGTTTTCTCATGGAGTATGAACTATATGAACTATGTTTTGTTGGCTTGAGAGACGCAATGCAAGTTCACTTTTGTATATAAGATATCGATCAAAAAATCTTTTGTTTGTGTGAGAAAACGAACAGTATTATATCGTTTTACCTCTTGTAATTATAGCCATGACAAAATGATCTGACGGCACGGGCGCTTCGGTCTGCGCATGCGCTGGAAGTGATCGCTTGCGCGCCTACGTCACTCTTTGTTTATACAGAGAAAGTATTACCTTTCACTAAACATATTTAGATATACGGAAAAACCGCAATGGAACACGATTTCGGTATATCTAAATATGTTTAGTAAAAGGTAAAACTTCCGAAATCTCCGTGTAAATATTGAGCGACGTCACACGCAAGCGATCACTTCCGGCGTAACATTGAACTGATTCAGTTCGGTTCAGTTGGACATTGCACAACTGATTCAGATCACTTGGATTACACGAGGTAAAAACGATATAAATACTGTTCGTTTTCTCACAAAAACCGCTCGTTTCGTGTCTTAGGCCATCAATGTGTACTTACATTTACGAGTCATTAAATCATGTTTAATTTTGACTTCTCTGTGCATGCTTTTTGGTGGACCCCCTTAGCCTCCAGTGTATGACTGATAGACAACAACGGTTTGACTGAAAAATGTCAAAATTGAAAATACTGTGGAAACAAAGACACCTACATCTTTGATGCCCTTGAGGTAAGCTAAAACATATCAAAAATTAATTTCAAAGTGAACTATCCCTTTAAACAGTAGCAGTTGACATCTAACTTGCTTTGCCATTGTATGTACAAAAACAAGCCTTTGGTTGTTGAAAATAGTTGCTTATCACTCGCTTTGGAAAATACCTGGAGATTAGCATCGCTTCAAAGCTGTGGACACACATGACCTTCTCCAGATTTCCTGATGCCACTTAATCTCCACACAGGAAGCATGTTCGACTATTTGTGGAGTAACTAACTTGCTGCTGTCGTTTCTTGTCCGAGTGTGGTGAGCTCTAGGTGGTAGGGCTTGTAATTTAGTGCAGCAGTTAAAATCTGACACCTCTCTTTGCTATCGCCAGATATGCACATAAGCCTAATTAAATGATCACCTCCATTCTGCGGGCATTTTTTTATTTTTTGCCCGCTCTTTTCTGACGTGGGGGTGGGTGCTAGAGTTGGATAGGGGGTGATGGGGGATGGGGGCTCGTTAATTACCACATAAGAAGCATTAATGACTCGCCTCACCTCCATCTCTATGAGGAAAGGTCACAGGAACAGTATTCTCCATTAATCTCTCCAAATGTGGACACACACTGACCGTAACATAGCACTGTGCTATCAAACAACTACTGCAAAGGTGCTCAAAATTAAAAACATTTGCTCTCTTTCACCTTAAAAGGGATTAACGCGGGCCAGCTTTGACTTGGGGGTTAGCACAATTATGAATATTACAAAAAAAAAAGAAGAAAAAAAAGTATACCGATCTAGAGGCAATGTAAAAAGTCTGGCCATTTAACGGTGGTGTGCAGATTCAGTGTGTTAACATGAGTATTTTTGGAAGAAATGATCTGGGCTGCATTTCCCAAAAGCATCGGAAGCCTAAGTTGATCATATAACAATTGCCACCAAAGGTCTCTACAATCAACTTAGGCTTACGATGCTTTTTGGAAACGCAGCCCTGACTGTCTTGCAAGAAGTGATCATTCATTACTCGTCATAATGTTTCTGCAACATAATCCAATATACAGATTTGTTATGTTAAAAATAATAATAGAAATCTGGCATGTATGGAAACCAATTTCACCTCACCTTTTGAAATAAGAAATAATAAAGGAAACTGACTTATCTGTGAGATATAGTTGCAAATCTCCCTTTTTTTTTTACTTTCAGGTGGAAAAGGCATCCATAATGACGTAGATTAAAATTATTATGACAACCATTTCACAAAAAAAGCCTTTTTACAATGTATTCATGCTGGAATTCTACATATAGACCTTAAGATTTAAGATATGAACACTTTCTGATCCATGATTTGACATATTTTGTGTATAAGGCAAGCAATGGTCAAATTGGTTAAAGTAACAGAATCTCATAGGGCAAATTATGGACGTAATAATACCTACAGTATATTATCTTCAAAGTTTCAACAGAACACAAACCCAAACCATTTTCTATAAAACAGCGGCATGCAACCACAAATGAAAGCGGTGTCATTAACTATGCACATATATCTCTGTGTTTAACCTCTTCTCCCTCTCCTTACATCTGTGATTGGCTTGATACGATTCATGCCCTATGTCCTCCATGACCTATTAGTATGCTAAGAGCACACTACATATGTCTAAACTCATCCATTAGCATATACATATATATGTATCCCACTGAATATTCAAGAGGAGCCGGGGATGAATTTCTGATCCCACTTTTGCTCATTAAGTCTCATTTGAAATTCAGGATGACAATACAGACTTTTATAAGATTTGTTTATGCCTAAATTACACAAACATCAAGGAACAGGGTTTTTTAATGAGAATGAAATAGGATAAAATTAATTTTAATACTTGATGTTCACAAATCTA